TTTATTCCTATTATTATTATTATTATTTTAATTTAAAGATGGACATTCTGTTTAAACACCAACTAGTTTATAATCTGAAACATTGTTATCTAATGCAAAGATCTTCAATGTCTTATTCACAATGAGACCCATTTTCATACTGATTTAACAAATTATCCATATCATCTAGTTAATATTTAAAAAATTATTATACAAATAGTAAAAATAATTATTACACAAATTTTTGAAAATCCTTTTTTAATTTGAATCAGCTGTTATTGAACCTCCAACTGGCACATGAAAAATATTACCATATACTATCAATCCACAATATTCTTTTTTTTTTTTTAAACTTCCATTTCCATTTTAAAAATACTATCTCAGATATTAATATCCTTATTATAATATTATTAAGTAGATATCATAAAGACAAACTAAATCAGTCCATCAACAACCTTTGAAAAATCATACTTTAACCAACCAAAAATGCATTATCGATTTCCTTAATGGTTAATTACTGGAGTGAATAATGTATCTCCTTACAATATTTTTAATGCCATTACTAAAAAAATTATTTACTCTTCTTAAATTTATTTTGGAACTATGCAAAAATTAAAGCATATAATCAAAAAATTTAAATACCATAATCGAATCTTTTAATGAAAAGTTTAGATAACCAATCATTAAAAAAATTTCAAGTGAATTTTTCGTTGAACAGAAAAATTATAATAAAATATTATCAAGCCTCTTCCTACTAAATAAATTTAAATGGATGTTTATGATAAAGCAATTAATTAAATAAACTCTTGGTAATTTGAATTAATTATAAATTTTTAATTTAAATAATCATAAGTAATGGTCGTTAGAATCCAATGAGCTATATACCTTTAGGTAGAGTATGCAAATTATTGAATTACTTCGAGAGTTTAAAAATAAATTAAGTTATGATAAGTTGGTCTCTTTGATCGCCTTTTTGTCTGAGCAATCTGTTGTGATCTCAATCTGTAAAAAAATAAATAAGTTAATGACACCTGTTGACAAATACAAAAAAATGATCATTAATTCTCCATAATCACA